CGACTGGAAAAATGCATTGATAAACAAAGGAACATACAGTTTCATGTCTGACGCGAAATTGTCGTAGCTTACGTACTTAAAAAGATAAGCGATGCAATCTACCAACACAATCAAGCACATGAGAAGACCACCGTAAATTGCTATCTATGGTGACTCTCAGGTATTTGTGAGTATTTGTTCTGGTGACGGGTACGGAATTGATGACTCAAGGTTCCAAGGGATAATCAGAACGGGAAAGACTAAAAATGCGCTCAAAGCATTTAGAAGTATTTAACCGGAGACCGGATCGATTCGAGAATGATTGCACTTGTAGTAGTAGTAGTAGTAGTAGAAGTTGTTTGACATAAAACAACATCATCTGCATACTTAAAGGTCTTGGCTGGTGGGACTGAGGGTAAGTCACTGATGAAAGTTAGTTGTATCAGTCGATCAGGAATACAGACCATATACGACGTCTCGCGGGGTTTAATTTGTGTGGATTAAACAACAACAACAACAATGCGGGGTTTCTTTTTCTGCTTTTGTTTACCATATGTGAAACCGAAATATATTTAGGATTTCTTTGCTCACCGAACTAGTGGAATTTGACAAAGATAATGCGGATTGAACTTGAGGTTATACGACCTAGACTGATCACTACTTTCGTAGGACTGATTTCATGGATTCATTCGAAGTGATGAAGTGGTAAAAAGATGTCCCGTTCTGTCACTCGGTTTCTGTTCGAGGCGAAACTCCTCTAGTTTGTGCAAAATAAACCAAGGATCAACTGCAAAACAGTGGGGAATTCGTTTACGGGTAGCTGATGATCACTAAGGCGATTCACGCACGTTTTGAATGATATTGTACCAAGCTAGGGTGTTCAATGCATCCAAGGTGATCTTGACCTTCTGAGGATGGTTTGGTAAGATGTGATGGCTTTCTTTAGTCTTAGGTCTCGGTCCTATACATAACGTAGCTTTCTGTGACTTTTTAGCTGGTCACCATGGCCACGAGGACCTGCGGTGACGATGCTCGAACTTAAGAACACAGGGACCAAGAGACGCCGGTAACAGCTTGATTACCACCACCCATGCCAGAACTCATCACGTCCCCGAACAACACCGCTGATTGTCCGTGGTCTTTTATTCATTGGGCTTTTAACTTCTTATTCGCGGCTGACCACTGGTATGGTCAGTCCGTGACCTGGAGTTGTGCCCGATAGCATTTAGTTATGCTTTTCTCAGAGCAGTTTGCTGGGAGGCCAATGATATATATATATATATAAGTAGTATGTGAATGACTGAACAAAATTTCCCTGGAAGCACACGACCGGTTTCGCAGTTCTTGCCGCTCGTCAGGCATCCGTATCTGGTGAGCTTTTGCCTTTTCATTCGTGTGCTTGTACCCAGGAATTCAATTTCGTCACAATAACCTTGCTTGCAATACCGGGTGATTTTTGGATAGACAGCTCTTTCAGAGCCAGTCCATTGAAGAATCAATAGTATGATTCGATGATGTGTAGGTAGGTTAAATGCTACTAACCGCAAAAGACTCGACTTATGCGTTTGTATTGAATGTTTGACAATAAGTAGTATCTGAATGACCGGACAAAAAAGTTCTGAAAGAGCTATCCAGCGATGTCTTGATTCCAGTCACACTGCACATAAAATAAAGCCCATAGGAGGTTTCCATGATCTTACTATTTGTGCATGATTTGTCCGATTTATTCTTCCCTTTATGTATGCGTGTGTGCGTGTCAAAATGATGTAATTTTAGCCATCAACTGATCATGGTAAGTTGCGACTCTGTGTGTCATCTCCACCCCAATCGAAAACATCGAACCATATTCAGTATACTCGTTTGCGCCCGGCAAAACTATACGGCTTGACTGATCTGTCCGTTGGACACGGGCGGATCACCGTCATCATCTATCGCGTTATCTGGCGTTCCTGGCTGGTTTGCGCAATCTGGTTGTTTATACTGTCCGTAACCGGATTTGGTGCTTCAGAAAACTCTCTGTGTACGTTTCCGAGCGTGTGTGTGTGTGTGTGCCTGCATATATTTGCTTATTGGTACCTCTCGATCTGGCGCATCGTTAGAACCGCCTGACTCTCACATCTGGGATCCGACAAACAAACCTGGTGGCTACCTGTTTGTTTATACTTTAGTCGACGAAAACACCAACGGAAACAGATCGTGTTTCCCCAAGCGACTAATGTTCCGTGTGTGTGTTCACACACGCTTGCGACTGTGCCATAGGCAGTGTGTATGCATAAACTTTGGAGTGTGCACCGTCCAACCGGTCGTCACACTCCATCCTCTCATTCCAGGACCATTTAGCCTATCCTTCTCAAGAAGGGATGCACTCATTTACCAGTAGCCTAACATTTTTGTTTATAGTCCTCCCTCCGCGAACGAGTTTACAGCATGCAGATGTGGGTGGTGGTGATGGTCAAGTGGTTGATATCGCTGTCATCTGTGTGCTCTAGTCCCCCCCTGGAGTTCGTGATTCGAACNACACACCCAATTTTGGTGGCAAGCGATTTTGCTGTTTTCCCCCGGCTCAATACCATGCATAACTTATTCGCTCACACTGTGGTCTCACCACCCCCAAATCCTTAGGTTTCGTTTGCCGAAATCCATGACTGAATAGCAGTTTCTTGTGACAATGGGGTTTCTACTCTTTTTGATATTCACCACACAAACAGTTGTGTAATAGACAGGAACATACTGACGGGATGTGAAGTAGTGATGGCAGTTCTAGGTCAAATAAAGCCCCCCTGCAAGTTTCTCTAATCCTGATGCACAAACTTACATAAGTTAACCCTCTTCCACACATACGTTAACGGCAAATTGGATGACTTAGGAGCAAATCCTACTCGTGTTTCGAGACCGTGTCATTATACATCAATTCGTGTGAAAAACAGTACTTTTATTTTAATTGTGTATATATGTTGACCTATTCAGTTTGTTCAACTGGTAACTGTGCACTTTCGTGCGACAGTTTTGGTTCTTATCCATTCGGATGAGGGGGCCAAAGAAAGATTGGAAAATTGGAAAGTAGTCTGAGTTTGCAAAGAAGCTGGGCACATGCACAAGCGCCATTGTTTACGCTCCCCAGTCATACCATTCAGTGTCTCTAATCATCGATTGCAATGATCTCGGGTTCTCGATCCACGGTGCCTAATGCAACTTATATGACCGAGTTTCGTGGTAGGGGGTTTCATATCATACCAGATCTGAGTTTGACCACCCTTGACTTTCTTCCACCCCCTATCGTCCTCGACAAACATCATGCACCGGGGCAACCTATCCGGTGACATGCGTAGCATCCCCCCTCCCCCCCCCCCAAACNCAACGTGTTCCATAGAGGTCGACCACTTGCTCCTGTGGGCGACCGAGGTTAACTAAAACTTTACGACTAACCTCCACTCTGCTTGTCTGGCTTACACCCACCAGACTCGTGCAATACTGCTTAGACAGCGTTGTCAAAATACCATCAGTCTATCTTTATCCTGTTTCCTTAATGGCCAAGTTTCTGCGCCGTGTAGCAGAACTGGCCGAATTACTGCAGTATATACTCGACCCTTTACAGACAGCCGGATTTCGCGACGGCGCTACAAATGTCTTAAGTTGTCAAATGCCAACCTAGCCTTCTGTATACGAGCTGACACTTTATCCGTGATGCGTCCTTCGGGTGAGATGTAGCTACCTAAATGGCAAAAATTTTCCACTTGCTCTATAAATTCCTCTGCGAGAGTGAGGTTGGGATTTGATCCAACACAATATTTTGCACATACCGAATGTAGCTGACACTCAAACAATCCAGAAAAATTGCAACCTACCTGGATCTTCACTTAGCAGTACAATGGATGTATATATACTCTTGGTGATTTAACCTTGAAGATGGTTTTGGTTCTCCTTGCTCGATCCTAGGCATCCCTTGTTCTCAGACCTATATGTAACTTTCATCTTACTACGTGAATTGTATCTAGGCTGTCCTTTTTTATCAACCCACTGTTCTCCCTCTTCTATCGATCTCCGTCTATCAAGCATTGTCGACCAAAATCCCGATAGCACAGATTCGAATCCTGTTTGCAGATTGTTTGCATCATGTGATTTAGTGTGTAACATGCCGCCTCACGCGATTGGTTTCACATGCAGTCATCTCACACAGTATTCTTACATTGTTTGGTCACTCATTTCTAGAATCTTTTATTCTTCGGTTGTGTTGTGATGAATTTAGTCACCTATTCATTTTGATTTCGGTCAGTTCGATAGATTTTCTAATCGGACGCTAGTTTTTGAATCCATCTTTTGACTGTTATTACTAAAACTAGGTGCACAGAGCACGATTGCATAGAATCGAATTTGTAATTCCTGTTCTGTGCTCCCCACAGTGCATCCAGCAGGTGCTCAGTGCAGAATCATCTTCACTGTCCCCGGTCAGTTTATCCCGGGTTTTTTTTTCTCTCACCTCCTATTTCCTATGTTTAACTTTTCGTTTTTTTCCGGTCAAGTTTCTGGTTTGTCACCAACACCATATCCTCGTTTTAGAGATCTGTACCGATCGATCAGTTGTCCACGTGATCCACATTCGTCCGCTTGTCCGTAAAAATGCGACTGGTGCATAGCGCGAGTGTGCTCGTCCAATCCCTAATTGTTTACTATATCTAAATGCACGCCAAATCAGCGCATAAACGATCCATTTGCGACTGAACGATGATCATCCATCCTTTCATACACACAGATGCTGATCAGTCCCGGTTGTTGGCCTCCAAAACAAAATATTGCGCCTCCCTCTCATGATTATCAGTTACTCGTACTGCGAAGATGGTCAATAAAAGTAGTCAGATATTCTATCGTTTATTTTGGCACGAAATATGCATGAAGTTGTTTTTAAACAAAACTGTTTGTCTACTCTTTGTGCACTAGGAAAGGTACACATATACAAATCATTCCGTGCGAATAGTCTATCTATCGATTGATTCCTGACCTCGATCCAATATATTTTCTCTCAGTTGTCCCCCGGTTCACCAGTTTACCCCCAACCGTGTCCTACTTTATTCCGAGTGCAACGGAACCCGATCCGGTTGATCTCATCTGTCGTGCCTGGCCACCGAATGCCAAACTGTCTTTACTTGCTACCCAGCTCACAGCCCCAGTGCAAATGGCCGAGCACGTTCCAGGTACGGCATCTAGTCCGGGTGCTCAACGTGCCAACTCATTACTGCCTATCCCTCAAGGATTAGCAAGTCAACGCTATGCGGTGCTCACAACCGCACAGTTATCCACAAACCATGCAGGCACTCCGGTCTCCGAAGCGCATATGCGTTCGTTGATCAGTNTGATCAGTCACGAGACACTGGTCGATGCGGTACGCGAGCGTCCGGCTGCAGCGCCATCCGATGAAGTGGCTGTACGTCTCACGGTGACTAATTTGGCTGATGTGCGTCAGCTTGAGGTGATGCGGCTTCATTGTCTCGTGAGCACGGCGTTTGGACGTCTGCTGAGCACTCCGTTTCATATTATCCCAACAAGTAAGTATCCTCCGGATTAACTTGAACTGCATATATCGTTTTTTGATAATTTCCATGTACTTCAACAGTTCGATAGTTCGTTGTGGATTACATTTTGGAAACAGAGAACCCTTTGGCTCCCTTCACTCACTGCTCTTATGTATTCGCTATCTGTCCGGCTTATCGAATTCCGGCTTCACACACACACACATACTATCGAATCATTCATTGTTTTTTTTCAGGTCTGGGTGATTTTCCCCAATCGGCCTCTGGTCAAAGCAGTTCATCTTCACCAATGCGATATTCGGTCGAGTTCCTGAGCAACAATATAGCTGTTGTGGATTGTCACTTACCGTTGAACAGTTTCCCGATTCCAACCGTCCAGTTCGAGCTGAATGGTACCTTGCTGGATAATTCAGGTTAGACAAGTCTCTCGTCTCGTCTCATCTCTTCGCTTCTGTTTACTTGTTTCCACTTCGTCCCAGGCTTGTTGGATATAAATTTGCCTGTTTGTCTGTTTTTGTGTACGTTTTGCGTATGTCCCATGGTCGCTTATCGCAGCGCGCCTTATTCGCAGTGGTTGTTGCAGACTGGAGACCAGCAGATGACGTGGAGATGAGGTATGAAGAAATGCACGAAGCGATTAGTTAGAGTAGATGTCTCTCGTCTTCCTGCTTGGGGTCCAAAAGACTGTGTAACCACACGGTTGGATACACTGAAGGTCATGGCTGCGAACCGACAGCAATGGCGAACATGCCGTCACTTCTTATCAGACCAGTATGCTTGAAATAGTATATATACACA